TGACATTGATAAATATTTTAAAGTATCATCTGGAACAGAGTATTGTCTTTGAAGTATGGGTCTTTTGGAAAATTATCACACAAATTAAATTTGGAAAAAATATTTTTTAGAATGTTTGGGAGGCAATTGCAGGTTTATTTTAAAGGTAACAACATTTCAATACATTTAGCAGATGTATTACATTTTAATAAAAATGCCAAAGAGTAAGGGAAGGACAAAGCGTGGTGGCAGGTGACACGTGTTGGATTCGCTTCCTAGGAAAGCTTTATTTTGTCAAGCAAGTGGAAGTCCTCCGCAGACGTGACCTTTCATGCCCAGAGATGCTTTTCATTAAGCAGCTGTACATGGCTGCTGACCCCACAGTGCTGGAGAGAAAAGCCTAGACATTTCTTCATAAATAAAGTTGCTGGTGGAAGAAGGCACACGTGTCCCCCCCCCATCCTCTTTCCTGGAAGACAGATGCGTGCTCAGATCCTTGTACTGCGTCACCCCCTCGCCCGCTTTCAGACTAGATCCTCAAAAAACCTAATAGGTGAGACAACAACAATTACTTCTTGCTAACAAGTTTGTGATTTAACCCTTTCAGGTGGGCGGGCTGACAGACGGCCCGCAGACAGCCATCCAGAGTAGTGCAGGTCATCGCGTTAAACTCGGCCCCAATTACAGGCTGAGCAGGAGCAATTCTGCTGCGGTGTGGCCGACACTCTGAAGCCTTTTGCAAACATGCTGGCCCCAGGAGGCTGTGGCTCCAGGCCCAGGTGACCCCTCTGCTCCCCCAGGACTGCACAGTACTGCTCCTCGGCTGGCGTTGCTTTTTATCTTGTCCTGAAGACTGGAGCACGACTTTCCAGTGTTAACATTGCTAATCAGGGAATACGCGTTAAAAGGAGAAACCTAGATGCCTTTGAATCATGAATCCCTAAACTTTAATTTGTTTTCAGCCCAGGAGAGTAACTTTAATGAAGAAATGTAATCAGGCACCCGTTTGCCTACTTTTCCAAGACACATGTCTTTTGTAGGCGTCTCTGTATATTTCAATTTCTAAAAATGATGTATTCGGAGAAATGGCCCATCTTTGGTGGTTGACAGACAGTGGCAACAGGGACTGGAGGTGAAAGGCCAGTCCCTGATTCATGTTCAAACTCACATTTCCAGGGAGAAGATCTGTGCCGGGTAATGTGACCCATGTGCGGCTTCACTTGGTGAAATCAATACTTAAGGACATACTGGGAAAAGGTGGATTGGTTATTTGTCAGGACAAGATGGCTAAATGTCCTGGACTGTTCTGCTTCAGAAAAGAAAGAATAACTCGTTCTTGGCTGAAGTGGTGTAGGTGATCAAATCTCAGGGCGTTTAATCACTTTTCGTCCCAGAATATCCAAGTCTGTCAAGTTTATATGGCTCCATAACTTTACATCTCACATTTTAAGGGACCATAATTTGTAAAACTCAAGTTACTTAGAAGTGTGGCTTTTTCCATAAGGCACACCATTACTACAACTCTCCCTTTCCTTTTGATTATTATAGGGATGCGATGAAGTTCAAAGTCATAATTTAATTTTCCTTTATCACCACAATTCTTCTTACTATTCAGTTTTATTCTACAGACAACACTATAAAAGTTGTATTTTCTGTCCATCACTTGTTTCTAGTGATGGCGTTCACAGGTGCATTTTGAATGAGAACAATTACCTTTAAAAACTGGCTGTTTGGGAAATAGTGCTAACCATGATCATTTATTTCTCTTTGTCTGTGCTAGTCAGCGTGGCATGTGAGAAGTAACAGGCAAGACTCTGTGGCCAAGGTTTCCAGGGTCCAGTAGCAATGTGCTTTGAAGGTTTGGTCTTGGGGTCTGTTCTGCCACTTTGCAGAAAACTTGCTGTTGATGAAGAGAGAAAGGCAGTGGAGCCCCTTCAGCACACACCAGCACTCATTCGTAGGAGACGTCAGTGTGACTGGAAAACACTTTCACAAAGCACTGCTTATTCCTGTCACTTACTCACATGAATACGTGAGCCAGATAGCAAATATTTCACGTTAGTACCTGACTTGGTACTTTCCACATTCTTCAACACGCTTCAGAATTTTTCCCATACCAGCAAATTCAGAGGAAACTCATATAAGCAAGAGAGTCATGTTGTATTTTTAGTACATGTGCTGCCGAAGCGAGCACTACGTTGTGCTTTTGTAGACCCCCTGTACAGTAGCCACTGTCTTCGCTGCTCAGGCCACGGACCAATCTGACCTGATTTTTTAAAATAATTTTTGACTGGGGCACAGCCCCGCCTGCTTGCTGATTGTTCAGAAGACCAGAGGATGACCGGAAACCCTAAAGTGTTTACTCTATGGCTCTTTACCGAGAAACTGTGACTCCTCGTCTCGACTTAAGTACATGATGGAAAAAATCCATCAGGCAGACTTTGTTTAAAAGGGCAGAGTTTCTGTACTTGTTACTTTGTGATGTTGAAGCATCCTTCCGGGGTACAAAATCTATTTCCTGAGTCAGCAGAGGAATCGCTTCTGTCATTAATGAGCAAGAACAGCCCTACAAACACCTTCCTCGCTTTCCTTTTGTCTCATTCCCATGGATGGAAACATCAGCATTTGGCTGGACCAGCACCTCTTCCTCAGCTTCAGCCATGGCTGGGTGTGGGCGCCAGACCGCAGAGGTCGGGAGGGTCTGATGGCTGAGTGACATTTGTGATTACTATGACATATTTTCCTATTATCTGAAATTTTGGTGCCATATGTTTTTATGTCAGTTACTATTGGCATAATAGGTGTGGTCCAGGTATGAGTATTTTTGAAAGGTCCATATGATACTTTGCTGAGTATCACAGCAAGATTTTCAGAGCTAGCTTCAGAAGATAATAAGATCCCGCAAAGAAATTCTCCCTCTAGATTGCTAATGAACTGAAACATTTCTCTATACTTTTATTTTATTTTTTGGTGCCGGGGATCGAACTCAGGTCCTTGTGCTTGCAAGGCAGACGGTGGAACCAATGAGCCAACCCCCAGCCCTTCTGTATACTTTTATATCAGTAAAGTAGAAAAGGCCAGTGGTGAAATCATTTGCCCTGAAATTATGGAGAGGGAGAATATTCACCTTTGGACAACAGCAACACAGTGAGTCGATATGTATTTCTTCTTTAGTATTTTGGATTTTTTCCTTTGTACGATACAGTGGACCCTTGACTTGTGAACTGAGTTCATTCTCAGGCTGGTCAGTGAAGGCTCAGGCTCCTCTACACATCCTGAAAGTCTCTCTCCTGCACACAGGCAGCTCTCAGTGTCTTTACAGAGACACTGGCCCAGGGTTTCTTACTTAGCCCTACACAGGAAAGGATGCTGTCCTGTTCCTTCCAGAGCTCTTCAAGGGTGAAATGTGTATCTGAGACCATCTGGAAGCACAAGCAGCCGGCATTCAGGCCGTAACTCAAGACTTTGGTCATAAGTCACGGCCTACGTTGTGGATGTATCAGGCCGCACATAACTGGAGGGTCCACTGTACGTTTTCAGAGGGGAGTCAGAGTGTGGATAGAAGCCTGCTTGGTTGAACGGCCAGTCCCCATTAGGTAACAGATGAGGCCAGCAGGGCCTTGTGGGCTCAGTCTGAGGACTGGGTGACTGCTCAGACCACACTGCGCGGGCTGTGCTCTGGGGCTGATTTGGAACCCAGTGCCTGCTGACCCCACAGCTGTGCGACACCAGCGTGTGAGGAGACAGCAGGCATGGAACACACTGTAGTGCAGGGCAGCGGGAAGGACTGTGCTTACGCGAGACAGGAACACCCGGTCTGTGTTTTCATTTCGATTCTCTAAATCTTCTCACCGTGGTTCTGTCCTTTATTAAGAAATTAGGCGACTGTCGGCAGTACGCTTTGTTTCTGAAAAGAAAGCTTTCTGGCACATGACTAATTTTTCACACAGGGAAATTGTTAACCAAAATGAACCATAGTCACAGTAGCACACGGTGACCCCTGAGCGGTAGTGAGGCATCCCGGGTGTGTGAAGAAGTCCTGGGGAGGGGTAGCTCCACGTCGAGCGCTTGCCAGGCGTGGGGGCCCCTGGGCTTGATCCCCAGAATGGCAAAGCAAAGCACAGGTTCTTGGTGTTGTCAGAGATGCATTCCAAATGTTCTTGCAAAGAGTCATGCTTTGGATCTGACCCCACTTTCCACCAGGGAGGGTGTGGGCGTGAGGTGAGTGTCTCTCCTGTGCTCCTCCTGCCGCTTCCCCACTGTCCTGTGCTCTGAGGACGTTGGTCTGCGTTTACACAATGCTCTCCTACTGCCTGCATCGTGAGCCTTCTCGTCGTGACTCAGATAGAAGCCAGTCTGCTGGGGCCACTGAAGAGAATCTCGTGCAGACGGAAACCCGGTCTGAGCTGGGGCTCCCACGAGAGGCACCACGCTGCCACCTTCGTTTTCTTGGAGCCTGGGCCCTCTCATCTCTGCAGCGCTCTGTGGATCTTTTTCCATTTCTTGTTTCTTCCCACAGACGGGGGCGAGAGGAAGTCAGTGGCCCTCGTCCCCGGCCTTCGGGTTCGAACGTCCTTGGCCTGTTGTCATCCTGGCTACTCGAGGCGTGCACTCCGGTCGGTCGGGTCTCGATCGTGTGCCCAGTGCAGGTTCAGCTGCTGTGGCCGGTGGGGGTCACGTCATGTGCCACACAACGCTGCCCTTTCCGGAGGGCGGGACGCGGGATCAGCTCTGAGAGGCTTACGGCAGCGGCTGACGTCTCCTCGTTGTGGTGCCCATCACCCCGTCCCCTCCACCGGGCTTTCTGTCCTCATCGTACCTTCCCCTGCTCATTCAAAGCTGGCAGCGTTTACTTGGGTCTTCACAGACAGCCAGCTGTATCCCTGTGGCTCATGTGGCCTTCATCCGCAGGGAGGCACAGCACAGGGCCGAGCCTGCACCGACACAGGAAACAGCAGATCAAGGAGAAGTACGTGAGGCCACTCACTCCTCGTCTAGCAATAAATTGAAAACAGAGCCTAAAAATTTGTGGGGAATGGAGGAAGCAGTGACGGGGCTGCCGTGGCCTCATTTCTGCGTGGGTGTACTTCAGCTTAGTCTCTTCACACCATACCCTCAGCCTCGGGGTCCATGACGCTCCTGGGCTTCCCTTCCCCTTCTTGGGGGTCACACTCGGTGTCTGGGAAGTTGCTCGGGGGACCGGTTCTGGGCAGCAATTTCCTGCTGTTCCGACTGGGTCCCTGTGGCTGCCACCACCCTGCCACCCAGGGACATCCGCCCCCACGAGGCTCAGCTCCTCTGCCTTCCCAGCCCTTTCTGTCCCGCGGCTCCTCCGCCTCCTCATTCCCATGGAGATGCTGTCAGAAATGCTGGCGTTTCCCCGGGTGAGCAGGAAAGGGAAGGCTGACGGCGAAGGGTATTAGCGGATCTGGAGGAGATGGTGGGTGGCAGTCAGGCCCAAGGTGGGCGACTGTGACGGGGGACTGATGAGCCGTGTGAGGGCGTGGGAGGAGACCTGGGAGAGGGGACAGGCTGCTCTTTCCCCAGAACCAGTGCTTTGCACACACAGTCGGTCGGTGATGGCTGTGGGTTGTCTTCCGCACTGCCCACAGTGGCGGATCTGATTTCTGTGGGGCTTGTGAAATTTGGGAGGGGGCAGGGGGAGGTCTCCTTGGAACTGGGTCTGAAAGCGGGTATGTATTTAGAAGGAGAAAGTAAATCACAGCAAACGAAGGGGCCTGAGTGATTCAGGCCCTTCTCAGATCTTTTCTCTGCGCCCGGTTAGAAATGCCTCTGTGGAAGGTTCCCTGGGTGGCATCCTGCCCCCGCTCCTCTCTGGCCGTTTCTGGGCCTCCCAAAGCCTCCCAGATGAGGAGCCTGATGCTCAATCTTCACCGACTTCCACAGATCCATGCAGCAGGAGCAAGGGACGTGGTAGAATTCAGTAATCTGGATGAAAACAAGACCCGGAGGCTGTGGAGCAGAGACCTGGGGCCTCTCCTTTTGTGTGCTATTTCTTGTATCAGATTCCCATGGCATAGAGAAAAGTGAATGGTTAAGGGATAACTTAGAGATTTTTGAAAAGTCATGTCTTTTTGTCTAGCACTTAATTCATAGTCTGGGTGACAATTTTATGGTGCCGATGAGAGAAAGAAAGGAACCGCAGCACTGCGCACTGCATGGGCTGTGTGCACCATGGGGAGAGGCCAGAGGGGCGGCCAGGACCGACTTCATACAGGTAGAATATGATGCCTTCTGCAGCCAAGCTAGCATGTTGACTACATGGCTTTTTGCTGCTGTTCCATCTTTACCTGTGCAGGCTGCTTGTGTTTAGAAAATCAGCTGCGGAGGTCACTGTCAGCAAAGTGTGCTGACCTTGATCTCCTGGCCTCTCCCTCTTCCCGGATGCTGGGATGCTTTCCAGTGGGTCCAAGAAGCCGCTGGGGGTTTGTACTCTGTTTGGTGGTCGTTTAAAGTTCTCCAACCCTTCACTCATAGTAATGGGAATTTGATTTGAATAGGTCCAAACCCATGCTCCATCAGCGCACTGGAAGGAAGCAGATGGCTGAGGGACACGATCCGTGGAACGGGGGTGAGCTTTGGGGGGCCCGGTGGACAGGCTCCACCGTTCTACACGCATATGTTGCCCTTATTTCCGTTGTGCAGTCCTCGTCCTGCCTTTCCTATTCATGGATTCCCCAAATGCCTATTTATAACCCTGAGCCACTCTGTTCCGTAAACAACGGGAAAACAAATCCAGGTGACGCTCTCAGAGCCACGCAGTGAAGGAGTCAGGACAGGCTGGCAGGAGCTGCAAGGTCGGCTCCACTTCGAGCCCTTCCCGGAAATACTGTGCGGCGGAGAGCAGCTTAATGTGCGGGCCCTGGCACAGCAGCCCAGCCGACCTCCATGTGCGGGCAGGGGGCTGAGACTGCGGGCCGTCATCGAGGCTCCTGGGATGCTCATCAGCTGTGGGCCCAGCGCTCAGCTCTGTCCTGACGGGCGTCTACAGCCAGGTGTGATCTCGGCCTGCAGGCGCCACAGCAGACAGGAGAGGGTGACGGGCAGGAGAGCGCGATCGGCTGGGTGTCCCTGGTGCGCCATGCTTGCTGTCATGAGGCAGGCCTTGCCCGCGCTGTCCTGATGTCCAGAGGGGCCCGAGGGTTGCCAGGTGGGCAGGCAGTGGGCAGAGCCGCATTTCTGTCCCAGAGCGAGGCAGACTACACGTGCCACTGAGCCTCACGGCCGTGGCGTGCTCGCTCAGGGAGACTGTCCTTCTCCATAGAGTTAATTTGTCCTCACCTCTCAATTAGCTTTTTCACAGAGCGCCCCTGGCTCCAGTCGCCCAGGTCCTGCCCTGCACGTGTTCCTGGGTGTTTTCAGGCAGCAATCCTCCACTGGAGCCTCACAGATGCAGGTCTTCAGCAGGAACAGGTGGGGCAGGACCTTCGCACTGCTGCAGATGCTGCCTACAGCTGGATGATGGCTTCTGATGAAAAAGGGTTATTTAAGATAAAAAGGTTTTGCAGTAGAGAGTGAGTTTTGGAATACACAACTACCCATTCTTGTTAGGGGTAAACTGTGTTCACAGGCACATTTGATATAAAAAAGAAGAAACCAAATAGCATTAAAACATACTCTATCCAAAGAGGAGAATGTGGTCTCCAAGGATAAGAATTTGCTTTGGTTTATGTCTAATCCTCTAATGTTTATTTCTACTAGGAAAATAAAACTTGGAGTACATGGCTATGTTTTTCCTTATTAAAAGCCACCCTTAACTATATTAACTATATTAACTATAACCCTTAACTATATTAACTATATTAACTATAACCCTTAACCAATATTAACTATATTGCCAGATGTGGTGGCGCATGCCTGTATTCCCAGCAGTCGGGGAGGCTGAGGCAGGAGGATCGAAAGCTCTACCCTGGCCTGGGCAATTTAGCCACTTAGTGAGACCCCGTCTGAAACAAAAAACAGTGAAAACCCTCTCCTCAAAACCTTTATTTATCAAGTTCTTGTGTATTCTACACAATGTTGTGACAGCACCCAAGGACCTGGCATTTTAATCCAAATTAAACGTGATTTCAAGAGCTTACTTAACAAAGGGAAGTTCTTGTTGGATTTCTCCTGGGGTCTCTATTAATAAAGGGCCTACTGAAATTACGCTCCTTGGACAGGAGGCTGCCACTGTCTCCGGTGGGCCCTGGATGTTCTCCGGGGGTGACTTTGGTGTGAGTGTGAGGGGCTGCAAGGAGAGGATCTCCAGAGCTCTGTGTGCAGAGTCTGCGACCTTTGCCGCGGTGTGCACTGACGCACGCTTGGATGCCAGGAGACGCTGCCGAGCAGCAGGCCAGGGGCCGAGCAGCAGGCCAGGGGCCGAGCGAGCTCTGGCATTGCCTCTCCCTCGTCTGTGCTGTGCTGAGGCTGCAAGATGGGACACAGACTGGGGGCTTCAAGCTCCTGGGGCACCCCAGTGTGCCATTCGCGGATGGCCTCTCACTTTGCCTTTTAAATGGTGGGTGGGCTCTGTTGTCGCTGCACTGGAAGCCCCAAACGTCTCCTTCAAAATAATCTCTTTTCTTAAATATACTTTGGTGGGCTTTAATGAGCTTGCGTTTTGGTCTAGTTAACCTTTAGATTGATGAAGTTGAACAATTATATAATTTTTTCCCATTTCCTAGGACAAAATTATTGTCTCCTTCCCTGTTAAATACTTTTTAAGGCTATTTATATTGGGCACTAAAATACTTTTTCATACATGTGGTATAAATATAGGAATTCATTACTGTATTAACCTTTGTTGCCCAAATCCTATAGTTTTAATATTCATTTAATATTTAGATAAGCTTATTATTTGATGTATATATTATATCTTGAATAGTATGTATTTAGGAAGAGACAGTATAAGAAAAATCATGTTTTATGTCTATAAAAGTAGAAAAGAGAACCAGTACTTTAAATGTTCATAAACCATTAATCCAGATAGAGTTGATTTTCTGTCTTCACAGGTGACTTTGAATTCTGATTAGAGAAATAGTTTTTCATGGCTGGTTAGCTTCCTGCCCAAGAAAAAAGTTCCATTTTAACCGTCTTCCTTGATTTAGGTAAAAGCTCCTACTCCACAGTGCTTTCCTGTGCTTGAAGATGTCCCATGTCCAGAGTCACCCATCGGCCCCTCACACGACAGAGGAGCAGCCTTGGTGACTGTGATTAGCAGCCCCCAGGACTTGACTTCTCTGGATGCCCAGGAGAGCCCGGTCCGGGGAGTTGCGGCTGCCCAGGACCTGGGGACACTGGGACACCTGGCCCCTGTGGCTGGGGACTCCCTGTGGGCAACATGCCACCACCCGACCTCCAGGCCTGTGTGGAGGGTGCTGCCAGGCGCCGGGGCCCAGTTGCAGAGCTGCCAGCCCCATCCCCCGCCACATCCTGTGGGACCAGCTCTGGGCCTCCCCGCAGGCTGTGTCCAGCTCAGTGGCCTGGCTGCCCTTGCTCCACGCTGGGCACGCAGTGAGGGCACCCAACCGGCTATGAAGGGTGCAGAGTCTGTGTCTGTCCTTCTGTCCACGGACATAGTGTTAGCTACTGCAAGCCGTGCTGCTGTGAACATGGCTGTGCCTGGTCACGGTGAGGGGAGACTTTACCTCTTGGGAAGATGCCTAGCTCTACTCCGACCTAAAGAAGGACAAACTGAGTCATTTGTGGGAAAACAGATGCACCTGGAGACCACCACGTTAAGTGAGAGATGTCAGACGCACAAGCTTCAATATTACAGGGTCTTTTACACAAGCAACCCAAAGTACCAATGAAGAACAGAGGAAAAGTAGCTAAAAGGAAACAGGGAGATAAATCCTATGCCAAAGGAAAGGGATGGAGAGGTGGAGGGAGGGCAGGGAGAGGCAGGGCGTGGGAAAGAATGAAGATGTACTGTGCATGTGCACCAGCACCCCACGATGAGTGTAATCATTGTGCACCCCAAACACAAAAAACAAACCCTGCTCCAGCCCCCCAAGACCTCTGTGTACTGTGGATAGCTCTGGCTCTGCCCGCCTTGCTCCTAAGCGGGCTTCCTGAAGCTGAAGCTTGGCCCCCAGTTTCCAGGGGACCCCAGTCCAAGACACCCTGCAAGCCGCCTTGATTCATTGTTTAATGACATTTACCTGCAGTGGGCCAGGGCCGCCTTATTCCCTTTCTACACCAGAACTCCGGTCAGGCAGTGAATGCTGTTACTCTCGCTTCCCAGGTCTTGGCAGTGCTCAGTGGTGACATTTTCTATTATTGCCTCTAGACAGCACCACATCTGAGGCTTTGAAGCTAGGTGTTCGGCCTTGGTGCATGCCCTGGGAGCTGCCTGGGTGGTCTGCCAGTGGCTGTGGAGTGTGTGAGAGCAGCTGTTCCCCAAAGCTGGCTCCGCTCTTATAGGCAGAGAGATAACGTGCAGAGCAGGCCTTCCCAGGACCTTCACCCTCATACTGGTGTTTCTGTAAAATCTGCAAGCACAATCTATTTCCACCATCGTTGGTTAAGCCCGTTACCTCTTTCCTCTCCAGTGTCTCTTTTGTGCTTCCCTTGCACCAGGTGGTACAGAAGTGGCTGTGAGCATTTCCAAGGTGGCTGGGACATGGAGTTGGAGTGTGTCAGCCAGCTTTCTGTCACTGTCACAAAATGCTTGGGACAGTTAACTTACAAAGAGAGAAGGGTGTTTGGGCTCAGTTTTGGAAGTCCCTTCTCTGGCTGGCTGGATCTCTGGTTCTGCTCTTCTTACTGCTTCCTGCCTGTCCCTCCCCCTTGTCTGGCAGAGGGTGGACACCCCAAAAGCAGAAGTCTAAGTGCGTGGACACACCTCACACGCTGCGCACGGAGACACTTGTACGTACCGGGTGAATGTGTGGCTTGATTGACCACATTACCACCAACACTCGGGCTCGGTCTCCTTTGGTCTCGCTCAAGAAAAGCTGGTATCATTGTATTGGAACTGAAGAGTAAAAGTAGTACCGGGGAGAGGGTGGGAATGCTGTGGGGTCTGGACAGCACTTCCTCTTTAATCTCTGTGCTCTGGATGCTAATGCTCCTATTCCTGCAGTTTTCCTCAGGGCTCCCTAGGCTGCCGTGTCTCCGGAGGATCTGGATCGTTCATGTCGGCTGCTCAGTTTCTTCCTTCCACACTGACCAGGAAGCATCACAGCTCTTCAGGGCCAGGGTTTCACTCTGGAGCAGGAGGCCTCACAGAGAGCTGCCGGAAGCTGACACGGGAGCTGGGTTTTCTTGGGCCAAATACGAGGCAGCAGTAAGATGAAGGCGGGCTCTTTTCTGTTTCCTATATTTGGTTGGTCGGGGGTGCTGTCCAGAGAGCTGCCTTGTTCAAGCCCTAGACATCAGACCCTAGAGTCCTCATGTGCAGGAGGGACACACACATGTATTAACCTAATGTGCACATATCACCCTGGAGCTCAGAGGCTCCAGGCAAACCTTGAGAAAAGCAGAATCCCACAAAGTTTGGATAACTTAGTTTTGGACAGTTTTATTTTTGTGTACAGAGAGCAAGAAAAGTGCACAAATGGCTAGTAGACGGCAGCCTTTTCCCGT